CAGTCACGGGCGTTCTCATGACCGATCACTGGGTTCCAGCAGATCCACCAGCAGGTGGGGCATTGATTGAGCTAGGAGGAGAGAGGGTGGAAGGGTTCATGGCTTCCCCTTTGCGGTAGGGGTGGTCCTGCCCACCAAAGGAGCTTGGTGATCTCCCCGGAGATTGAGATGAACCTCAGCCCTCTGACAGTTCTCAGCAAGCATCGGATTTTCTCCAAGTCTTTCTGCCCTCTGTTTTCCTAACCAAATGGAATAATGAGTAGTTGAGTTTGCAAAATGTCCTAATGTAACCGTGTCCTTCTGGCAGTGAACCGCTCCGTTCATTATGACGGGGAATGGTAGCTAAACCAGAATTTGGGACAAGCAGGGAACCGGATGAGTCAGACAAGATTGGAAGCAGAAGATCTTCTTGTCCTTAACTTGGGGCAGTGAGAAGGGTCCAAGGTCATGCTAAGTCCTGATAGATTAACCAGATCCCTAAAGATGTAATCTCTGTATTTCCTCCCTGGGTGAGTTTAAGATTTCAGATCTGTTTCCTGTGAAGAAAAATCAGCGAAGTGGGGCAGTGGCATGAGAGGGCTTCCAGGTTGTGCTGGGTCAGGGTGGGAAGCTGAGCAGATGCAGCGCTCCTGCTTGCCTCCTTAAACGCCGCATCTCCTTGGGATTAACAACCTCTCCTCCAGAGGGTACTGCCCTCTGAGGCTGCTCAGGGCTGGAAGTGCTGCCCCAGAGCAGCTCTGGGAATGTGATCGGCCCCACATCTCCAGCAGCCTTGCAATAACAGGAGATTGTGTGAACTAAGCTTGGCATATTGTGTGAATGGCTTTGCTAAGTCTTTATCTGACCTGACTAAGTGGGTTGGAATTGGCTTACAAGTGCCCGAACCTCCTGGTTTTCATGCCCCGTCCTCAGTCCCTGGCACCCTCCCTGGCTTCCTACGGATCCAGTCTGTGGGAGGGATCAATTCCCAGGGGGCTTTCAAATGAGTCACCGCAAACGAGAAGTCCTGCCCTTGGGAGAAAGGGTTGAATTTCTCCTTCCTGTGGAGAAACTCAGAAAAATCACCAACCCAATTTCTCTGCTCACAGGTTGGGCGGTGCAAGGCTGGGATTAAAAAGCCATTTCTGCCTGTTCTTATTTCGGTTCGAGCAGAGCAGGGGGTGGACTGGCAAGCTGCAAAAGTGGAATTAGCCAGGTTATCAAGTCTCTGGTGAGGATGGTCTCCGAGCTGGGCCTTTGGCACAACCTGCCCTTCCCTGGTGCCCCACCTTTGACTTTCTCCCATTCCGCCAAGTGTTCGCCATTGGGTGATTTCTTGAAAGAAAGTGTGCCGAGGGCTGTTTGAAGTGGTCACAAAAATGCAAACCATGTGAGTCAAAGAAGATTTGGAGGAGGAGCAGGAGAACTTGGCTTCCTTGTCCTGGAACGTACAAGGTGGGGCACCACTTGGCATTGGGAACTGTTTGCTCTCCTGGCTGTTCTTGCTGGGACGTGCTTCCTTGGCACAACCTGGACGCCGTGCCCTTGAAGAAGGCAAGTCTGCAGCTGAAATGCTCCAGGGCTCCTTCGCAGCCACCCCTGCCAAGCCCTTTGCAGGAAGGACTGATGCTGCCAAACCTTTCCAAATTTCGGGAGGATGCAAAGATGGTCTATCATTATCTGAGGATCATTATCTACCTCCCCCCCCCAGCTTTTCTGGGGAAAGAGGATTAGATTTGCAATCCCTGGCAGGAACTCAGGGGAATTAAGATGGACATTGAGCTAACCGTTGTGAGCGAATTGGTTTACCGAGTGAGGAATTGGAGACGGAGGAAGCCCAAACCTTGTTAGAAGTTGCCTATGGCAAAACTCACTGGGTGCTTCCTCCAAAGACCTGCCCCACCCCCGTTTGTCCTGCTGCCAAGACTCGGTGCCCCAAATAAGGCTGCTCAGGAAATGATGGGCCAAATTGCACCAAGCCTTGGGGCAAAGCAGCCTTTTAAAGCCAGGGTCACCGTTGGAAATTGGGAGGCTGGGTTCACAAACTGTAAATTTGCTGTAAATCAGTGTTTCTCAATCTCAGCAACTTGAAGATGGGTGGACTTCAACTCCCAGAATTCCCCAGCCAGCCATGCTGGCTGGGGAATTCTGGGAGTTGAAGTCCACCCATCTTCAAGTTGCTGAGATTGAGAAACACTGCTGTAAATGATTAGTGAGATACAAGAATCGTCGCTTCCCTTATCAGGAGACGAATGTCCTGTTTCAATCATTAAGACAATCTTTAAAAGAAGTCAGGTGGGCAGGGAGGGTGATGCGCAAAGGAGGGGTCTTGGGGAAGAGTGGTGTCCCACAAATGTTCTGAAAACCCTTCCTGCATGACTGTGTGGGTGGCACGGCAGGCCAGAAAAAGGCCTAGTGGTTGCATTCACAGAACATGCCAAGCAGGATTTGTGTGAATCTGGGTTAGGTGTGCAAACCCACCCTGTTGGCTTATGGTCCAGATGAACGTGTGGTGTGGATCCAAAGACGGGTTCATTCATTTATCAGGGGAAGCATTTGGCTTCCACGCAGCCCATCCGTTTCTCCTTTCCCAATTCCTGAGCATTTCTCTGAGTCCCAGGGAGGAACTTTGAAATCTTTCTACGATGTCTTGGCGTCTCTTCTTCGAGGGGAGGGGAGGGGCTGGGCAGCATTTTAAGTGAGCTTTTGGAAGCTCTTGAAAGAAGATACGGGCCACGTTCCACCGTGAAAACAGCTGCTGGAGGGCCGTGGTCAAATAAATCTTGGGATAGTTGAGTAGAGACGTTTTGAGTAAATAGGTTTTGGTACTTGGCTCTGAGGTCGAGGCCTTTATTAAGTGGTAGGAAAGCATTTGGATCTTCTTGCTCTGCACGGAGACCGCGGTGTGCCTAGATCCACTGGGGTGTTAAGGGTGGATGGTGAGCCCTTTGGCCATTGGGGTTAGACTAGGTCAGCCTTCCCCAACCAATCTCCAGATGTGTGACCAATTCCCAGAATCCTCGGTCAGCATCGCCATTGCTGAGAATTCTGGGAGTTGAAGTCCACAGGTCCGGAAGTTGCCCAGGTTGGAAGCACTGGACTAAATCATTGTTTAGAAGTCTTTTTGGATTCAGACATCTCACCCCATAGTGGCTGGGTTCCCCGGAACATGTTTGACTAGACTAAAATGGCATTGGGTCCATAACTGAAGGGAAGGTGGACCTGAACCTGTTCAGAACCTTCATGCACCTTGGTTTAGGAAAACACTGAGCCTTGAGCCATGGAGGCCCCTGGATGTGGGACCATCTCTGTCACTCTCAGCTCCAGCCTTCATGAACCTGTCTGGGAAGTCCAACACGTCTGAAGGCGTAGATGTGGAGAACAGAAAAGGCTGGTTCACTCCAAACATAACCCTCCCCACCATACTACTCTTGCATGTCCCCGCTGCAGGCTTGCGTGAACATACATCTCTCTATATTTATTTGCTCAACTGCCGTGGAAGCCTCAAGGCATGGCGTGAGCATGTTGGAATGTGCAGGTTTCCCCCCAGACCCATTCCTTGCAGGAAGTCAAGTTTAAGCTCATGACGTGCTCATAGCAGAACGATGCAGGTTTGATCCTCTTCATGTCTGTTCGTGGCCCAAGTAGCTTCTCTTTGCGTTCCTCTGTGGTTTCATTTGAGATCAAGTACTTTTTGAATTCTTCTTGTATTTTGGATTGTTTTGTGATGATTTTAAAAAGCTGTTATAGATACCGAACTAAATGCCCTCTTTCTTTCCTTCCCCCCTCCCAGCTGAATGAGCTGGACAAGGCAGCCGACGCCGCGCACACCTTCTTTTTGGCCAACCCAGAACACATGGAGATCCAGCAAGACCTCGACGATTATAAGACAATGGCAGGGAAGGTGGACTTGGTTGACCGGGAGGCTCGGCCCCACATGGTAAAGGGTGTGTGTGTGTGTGTGTGTGTGTGTGTGTGGAATGGCTTACGATGGAGCAGAAGTAGATACGACCCAATCTCCCTCTCCCCACCCCCATTTACATGAAAGCAAACCTTGGAGAATTACCCAGGTTTTAAATCAGGTGAAGAGACTATCATGGCCGCTGGCATCGTCCCCTGTGTGGGTGTCTGCTGGGGAGGCAAAAGGGAGGCCAGTGACATCACGTGCCTTGTGACCTCATCATACAAATAACACCCATGATGCAATCTTGTTTCTACCAAGCGCCTACGACGCCGTGATGAGCGAGCTATTTTTTTCTCTTGCCTCCTGCTAAAAATTGGCATGTTGATTCAATGCCCTTTAACCCAGACACTGATTTGTAACTATTTTCTGAGTTCACATGTAATATCATGGCATCAATCAAAGAGGCCGGGTTTGCAGAACATGCCGAGCCAGGATACGGCACACAAGTGAACTCTCATCACGCTTAGTGTGTTGCGTGAATGCAACCTGTTGGCCTTTCCCTGATTTAGGTAGACCTCCTTGCAGCTTTGGAGTGCTGGGCTGAATGCTCTGGAAGTCTTGAAGGGGTGGGGGTGAAGTCTCTGATCGGCTTCCCCCTCTTTCATCGAAGGTGCGCTGGCCAGTTGGGAGTTGGCGCAGCCCCTGTTCTTTCTCTGGGCTCAGGCTATTAGAATACAGCGTTGCGACTGTTTTGGAGAAAGACGCCATCTTGAGGGCACCTGCCTCTGAAGGGCACTGAAAGGCGGAAGGGAGCGCCTGCCTGCGCCTGGTCCGGCCACCCAGAGAAACCAGCAATCAGCAGAGTCTGCTTCAGATCCCCAGTCCCCAGTGCCAGGGGCTTTAGCTTAGGAAGAAAGCAAGTAAGGGGGGTCCAATAGAAGCATCTGACATGGCCCACGGCGTCATAAAATCTTAGAATTACACCCCGTCGGTGTGATACGTTGGACACCATCCTTGAGATGAAGTCTGGCCAAAGCAGAACAAAGTGCAGTTACTGTGTAACTTCCAACGTTGTCTGCATACAGTCCAACAATCCTCAGGTTGGAAGGGATCCTTGGGGACATCGAGCCCACCCCCTGCTCAGTGAAGGGACTCGGACAGGCGGCCACCCAGCCTCGGCTGAGATGTCTTCTGGCCTTTTCCAGGAGGACTATCTCTCGGGAGTTCGATACTACGATAAAGAGGAATATCACTTGGCCATTGACTTCCTAGAGCGGGCGCTGAAGGAATACGGTGTGGCTGACGCCGAGTGCCGGGTCTTGTGTGAAGGACCCCAGAGGTTTGAGGAATATGAATATCTGGATTATAAGGCCACCCTCTACGAAGCCATTGCAGGTAAGCCCCTAGGATTAAATTGATGCAGATTACTTACATGGTCTCTGAACTAATGAGGTAGAATATTATGTCTTGGTTAGATTCAAAAGGGTCATTTTAAATAGCAAGAAAATTTCCTATTATCTAAGATTGAGGTTAATACAGGCAAAATTTCTTTCCTGTATACAGAAATGTTCAGCTGAAGCCACCATGACATCACTTTCACCATGACATCATACAACTGAACAGATGATATAATTCATGTCATGTGTGTTATGATGTTGTGATACAGACTATCTGAAAATACTTCAGAAAGTCAGTGAAGGCTTGGTTATGTCATCAAGGCCTGGGAACAAAGTTGCTGTGACTATACTTCTGGATGATCAATTGATTGGTTGATTTTGTGCCATCAAATCAGTATCAACTCTTAGTGACCTCATAGTTGGATTTTCTCCATGATGATCTGTCCCCAACCTGGTCCTTCAGGTCTTCCCATGGTGCCCCCATCACTGCTGTCACTGAGTCTATCTCCCTTGCTGCTGGGGGTCCTCTACTTCTCTTTCCTTCCACCATTCCCAGTGTTATGGACTTCTTGAGGGAGCTAGGTTTACTCATTGATTAATTGATTTTCACAGGAAATACCATTGCTGCATGATTCTGAGGGACCAGCTGTCTCCATAGCATCTGCCCAGCCACTTTGATCCTGCAGGATCCTGTAGAAATTGTTGGTTGTTTATTTTGATGATGATTATGTACCATCAAGTTGTTGTTGACTCTAAGCAACTACACAGATAGATTTTCTTTCTGTTCCTAACCTGGTCCCTCAGGTCTTCCAATGGTCCCCCTGTCGCCTCTGTAACTGAGTCCATCCACCTTGCTCTAGTCATCCTCTTCTTCTTCTTTCCACCTTTCCCAGCATCAGGTTCTTCTCCAGAGAGCTGGGTCTTGGGATAATGTATCTGAAGTAGGATAAATTGAGCCTGCTCATTTGTGCCTTGAGTGACAACTCCGGGTTGATTTGTTTGATGATCCATCACTTTGTTTTCTTGGCTGTCCATGGTCTTCTCAGGAGTCTTCTCCCACATCAAAGTTCAAAGGGATCAATACTCTTCCTCTTCTGCTCCTTCAAAGTCCAACTTTCACTTCCACAGAGGGTCACAGGCTTGCACAATTCTGATCTGTGTAGACATCTGAATATCTTCTCCAAGGCCTTCATGGCTGCTCTACCAAGTGCTAGTCTGTGGCATATTTCTTGACTGCTGGTTCCTTACTGTTGATGGTCCTAAGAAGGCAGGGCTACCATCTTGCCTTTTTTGAGCCCTCTCATGGACCCCCTCCCCCCTGTGGGTTTTCCATCTTGTTCAACCAACAGAAAAGGCAAACAGCTGAGAAGTATAAAACTCCAGTCCTAGTGCAAATCTTTTTTATTATTATTATCATTCCTTTATTCTACAATCCAAGGAACCCCTCCTTTTGTTCATCGGCTCATGACTGATCTTCCTCACTTGCTTCCATGTTTATGTTTTCTTTTCTTTTGCAATCGAAAAAGCTTCAATTAAAATGAAAAGCCTTCAGCTCACCCTCCTCCTATGAGGGTGCCAAAAAAGATCTTAGTGCAGCAGAGTCAGTAATTCCTCTTGAAGTCACCACAGCAGCAGGAATTGAGAATTGCGAAATTAATTCAGTCCCAGAAAGGGTTTAAGGTGGGGGGAAAGGCTGTGGGTGGCCCTTTGCTTCTCAGCTGATGCTGGGTAAATATTAAATCAGGGTTTCTCAACCTTGGCAACTTTAAGAGGTGTGGACTTCAACTCCCAGAATTCCCCAGCCAGGGGAATTCTGGGAATTGAAGTCCACACGTCTTAAAGTTGCCAAGGTTGAGAAACCCCTTTAGATGGAGAAAAGATAGAAAGTGTGCAGGAATGGAAGTGATAAAAAGCTCAGCCAAAGAGCAGAAGTGGGGAGAAAGCTGGGCAGGGTCCAGTACAGAGGCAGTGATGGCACTGTCTGTGATGGGCAATTTGTCCAGGGTGCCCTCTGCACGTGCTCCTGCTGATAGGTCTGCATCGTGACCCAGGAAGAAAGCTCAGAGCCACAGCTGACTTTAACTGCAACCCCTTCTTGCTGCGCCTTAAACACCAAAACCAAATCTTCCGAAACCCAAGAGCAGCGTTTATCCTCTGCTGTCAGACTCCAAGGTGGCAGGTGAGGAAGTCTCGTGACTCGCGCCACCGTGCTGGCACGCTTCCCCGGAGATTGGGCATTCCTAGCGTCTGGGGTTGCATAATACGTTGAACCCTAACATTCCAGACAATGGGATGTGCTGACACGGCACGCTGAATTACAAAACAGCCTGTGACTCTCCCTGCAGGCACCAGTGGCAGGGTCCTTTGAAGTTCTTTGCGTAGAACTCAGCCCTTCCTAAATTATTGTTCTGATTCGGTTTTATTCTTTCCTGTGGAGGAAGGTCTTTCACAGGCTCGGGGTGCTAGGGATCTGGGTCCTGTCCAGTGAAATGAATCGGTTCTTTCTCTGCTGCGCAATTTGAGTTTTCTCCCCTTCTGCCTCCTTGCAGAGCATTACATGCAGGTCCTGCTGTGTCAACACGAGTGCGTGCGGGAACTCGCCACGCGGCCTGGGCGACTCTCGCCCATCGAGAACTTCCTGCCCCTGCATTATGACTTCTTGCAGTTTGCCTACTACAGAGGTGGGTCTTGTTTTTCTGGGCTCCTTTGCTGCACGGAGATCAGGGAAGGTGTTGTCCTCCAAAAGCTAAACCCTGCACTGGTCTAGGAATGCAAGAACAGTCCTGCTGGGTCAGGCCAAGCCCATCGTAGTCCCACCTCCTTTTTCCCCATAGTGGCCAACGAGATGATGGGAGACCTTCTCCTCTCCCACCTTTATGCTCTGCCGGTGGGATTTGGAGGCAGGTGGCCCCCAACCTGGAGTCTTCAGGACCAGGAGCCCTCAGGAGACCTTTCCTCCATGAACGTATTCAGTCTCCTTTAAAGCCAGTCTAATCAATGCCCTGACACATCTTGTGGAGGTGCCTCTTGTGGTGCCCTAAGTCATGGAAGTGGCGTATGATTTTGGCACCCCTGTCCAAAAGAAATGCCCACTTTGCTGAGGCTACTTCAGAGCACGCCAGGATCAATGTTCTTACGTTGTGATGCACATTAAAAAGGAGCAGGACTTGAATCACACAGTTGGACTTGACCATTCCTCTGCAGACACCACGTGTTAATAGCCTGATATCCACAGACACGGTTTAACTCTAGTTCATTATTTTGGATAAAATAACTGTGCCCTTTGCTGTATAGAGCAACAGCTCGGCTCTGAGAATAATTACTCTAATCCAGTGTTTCTCAACCTTAGTCACTTTAAGAGGTGTGGACTTCAACTCCCAGAATTCCCCAGCCAGCTATGCTGGCTGGGGAATTCTGGGAGTTGAAGTCCACACCTCTTAAAGCTATGCTGGCTAGGGAATTCTGGGAGTTGAAGTCCACACCTCTTAAAGTTGAGAAACATTGCTCTGATCCAATGTCTGTAATATTGCACATAGCAAATCCTACTAAAAATTATTATATATGGGAGCTCTAATTTCCACCAATGATTATTCATGTGGAGGGTCTGACAGAGCTGAGGTTATGTTCATACCCTTATCAACTCAGTATCTCTGGGAAATAACTGGTTTTTTTAAAAAAACAACTCTTTAACCTCTGCATAATCTGTGCTAGGGTCATTTCACCCATTTTCACTTTTTCTGCCCAATTGGGTAAAAACTCTCCGTAAGGTCCGTTTCATGAAATCTCTGTTAAAAAAACAACAACCCTGAAATTGTATAGAAAAGTGATATCATCCGAACAGCTCATGTAAAAAGAAGACAGCTGTTGATGTTAGGAAACGGACATGTGTTAAGCGTTAGATGGGGAGCAAAACAGCCCTGTGTGACTGAAGCCTGTTGGTTTCCAGAGCAGATTGAAAAAGGCAATCAAAATTCATGCAAAAGCCATAGATTAAGCCTTTTGCAAGAAATACACACACACACACGTACGTATGGAGTGGGTGTCTGGACTCAGGAACAGCTGGTGTTGCTTCCCCGATAGCTGGTTCAGGGCAGAGATAATGTCCTTGGTCCAAGAACCTTGGACACCGAGCCAGAGTCAGGCTGTCTCACCAACCAGGACACACAGCTGCCCTCTCTGCTCTTCTGCCAGAGGCAGCTGTTCTTCCAAAGCAGCTGTTCAACTTTATTATTCTGGCCCTAGCAGGAGCTGTGTTTTTAGAAGGGAGAACATCCTGGGGCTGCACTCCACAACATTTGAAACCTCAAGGTTGTGTTTCTGAGTCAACAAGTCCTTTGTCCTGCTTGCCAAGCGGTTGGGGGCAGGAGAGGGAAAAATGGTAGCCGGGCAAACCAGCTGGAAGAAGAGGAGTGACCGCTCTTGTTTTGGTGAGAAGGGGTCCCTGTAAAAGCTAAGCTTGGTATCTGCATTTAGTGGAGCGAATTGGAAGGCTGCTAGAAAGTTTAGCCGCAGATCGCCAAATGGGCTTGGCTTTCTATCATGTGCTCGATTTTCCAAATACGCCTTCACTCGTTTCTGAGTCTGCCCCCGTGTAGTCCAGGTGAAAATGCACATTTTCCCCTCCTTTTTTGTGCCTCCACATGCATTCTTGCAAGAATGTGTGTGTTTTTCTTGCCAAAGACTTAATGCCTTTTGTATGAATTCTGATATGCCTTTTTCAATCTGGGCTAAAACTGTTGGAGAACTGTGAACCCAAAGGATAATGACGTAGTCATGTCTTCCACCTATTATATTTTTAAGGCAAGGCATTTGGGAACCCCTGAAAATTTTGCTGCAAAAGGGCAATAGATCAGAGCAGCGTTTCTCAACCTTTGCAACTTTAAGAGGAGTGGACTTCAACTCCCAGAATTCCCCAGCCAGGAGTTGAAGTCCACACCTCTTAAAGTGGCCAAGGTTGAGAAACACTGCGTCAGAGCTTTCTTGTCATTTGGGTTACGTCGTTGGTTTTCTGTTTTAATTTTAGGTTGTTAATTTAGGCTGCTAAGAGACTTCAGAAATGTAAGACAAAGAAGGAGGGAGCGAGGGAGGGAGGGAAGGAAGTTAACAATATGCATATTGTAAATTAAATAATGGAACTCCAGCCTGCACCTAGAAGAAAAAAGATGTGGAGGCAGAAGGAGGATGTGGAAGTTTCATCCCAGGAGGACCATACAGCGTGTCTCTAATCCAACGAATCAGAGGCAGACAATCTCTAGTCATCGAGAGTTTCACTGAGCTGCAGATTCCTACTTTCCTCCCCGTAAATCCGCAATACCCAGAACGGCACAGCTTCCAGCACCTTAGGAATAGCAAGGGCTGTTTCCATCGGTTTGTTTGAAAACGGAAGCTAAGCAAGTTTCTCCCCAGTCCGAGTTTCATGAGCCAAAATGTACTTGCTCGGCTTCCATCTTCATACAGGTCTATCTTTCAGTCCAGACCGATGCCCTCCGAACCCTTTTCCAGAGTACGCGCTTTGAAAAATACAATCCCGGGTACCGGCGAGTACAAGAAATGCGTTCTCTTAGGAAAGCAAAATGAGACACACACGCCCTGCACCTCCCCACACGGAGAACCCATCCAGAGTTTGGCCATCAGCTCTTGCCCAAATATAGAATCTAAGTAGAAGCAGCAGAGAGCAGTTGGGGGGGGGAGGGCGGGGGGGGCTCAAAGAACCGCTGGGAGGAACTGAGCCTGCTCCAAAGTTATGGGATGGGATGTTGACCGGGGTAGAGGAGGGGGACTTAATAGTGTTGGGTGAAAGCAACCTCTCTGCTTTGGGCTGCAATGGCCGGGTGCCACAGGTTCCGCTCGCGCCAACCTCTTCTGGCAGCTTCTGGTTTGCTTCCCTTGAGACTTCATCAGCGAGGCTGCAGCAGAAGGAAGTGAAACCCTGAGCTGTGGTTCTCCATCTTGTTGCAGTGGGCGACTACGTCCAAGCGCTGGAGTGCACCAAGACGTACCTCCTGTTCCACCCAGAGGACGAAGCTGTCTTGGAGAATGAGGATTATTATAAGAGCCTCTTAGAAGGATTTGTGGACCTGCGGGCCATCAAACCCAGAGAGGTAAGTGGCTGAGACATGGAAGGGGTGCTTCGTGGTAGGTTGGATCCTTTGCCAGGGCGAGGTGCCAGCCATCTTCCACCAGTGCCTAGGTCAGGGTGGAGAACCCAAGGGCTGAAGCGGCCTGCAGCCTTTTTCCACACGCATGCACACTCCTCTGCTGTGGCCCCAAGAAGGGCACTCGTGGCAGAGTTTGCATTGTCAGTTTCTGAGGGTGTCTTTTAGGAGGGTGGGGAAGTCACCTAAGGAGGACAAGCAGTGGGGACACCAGGGCCTTCACAGCAGAGTTGGGACCGATGCTTTTGGAGCCCAACAGCATCCCTTCCCCAGGGCCGTGCTGAGACCCATCACCCTCTCAGTCATGGAGCCGTCATCAGTATTCTAGTTTCCCAAGTGGAATCTAGAGTCATTTTCAACTTACCATTTGTATTTTATTTTTAGATCGGGCATGTCTGTCCATTCATACCTCTGTTTTCTAGGAACATAACATCTGCTACGTGTGCTCTCATAAAGTTGCTTGCGTGCATAGGTTTCCCAGGAAAATGCATTAAAAAGGCAATAATTGGATTGGCTCTGTGACTCGTGTGTGTTTCATCAAGTCTGTGGCATTTTTATTGACTGCATTCACCCAATGCATTGAACCTGGTTCCTGAATTAACCCATTATCTGGGTTTGCACATTGATTAGACCATGAGCGCCCCAAACAGACCGGGCTTGCAGTATGTGCAAAGCCATGGAAAGCCGAACAAAGATTAACACTAAGTTTGGCCTGTCGTGTAAATGCAACTGGTAGGTCTTTCATTAACTTGGTGAAGTGTGTTGTGTGAGCCTGGCCTTGGTCTCCTCCTGGGGAGGGAGCGTGGGGCTTCCCGGATTTTGGAGGCAGCTCTGGGTCAGCCTGAATGACATTTTCCACCACCGGCAGATTCAAGGGACTTTCCTTTTGTGTTTTCAGGAAGCTGCGACGTTCCTGAGGCGACATAAGTTGGAAGCAGACTTGCTAGAGGCCGCAGCTGCCAACCTGGGCTTCTTATACACAGAGCCGGTGAGAATGCGCTGCTGGGATCCAGGAGGACAGACGGAGCCGAGAATTGTAGCTCAGGCCTGGCTCTGCTGGGCGCCGCTTGGAGGACCGTCCCTTTCAGCCATGCATCCTGTCCAGGGTGCTGGTGGGGATGAAATAAACCCGGCTTTGGCAAGGCCTTGCACGCATGGAGAGGCCAGCTAGGTGAAGGAGGTGGTAGGAACTCTTACGGTGCAAGCAACGTGTGGCTGCCTTCACACAGCCCGGTAGGCTCAGCTGAAATGGGGTTGGGTGCCTTCTGGTGTCACAAGCTAGCTGCTCTCTTAATACAGAGTCCCTTATACAGACTAGGGCTTTGTGCTAGCGCGGTGCGCTGTTTAAGCGTTGCATGCTGTATGTATATACCAATTGCACATTCTTAACCTGCATTTATGATTTAGTGCAGTGTTGTCCAAACTTGGCCACTTTAAGATGAGTGGACTTCAACTCCCAGAATTTCCCCCCCCCCCCCCCCCCCCCC